CATTTTAGGTGCTTAAATATGGATCAAGTTTAGTCATTCAGGAATTTAAAGATCTTGGCCAGGGATGTACGTTGTAGCAGTGCTGGCCTAAGGACACGGTTTTTTGGGTAAATCTGATATCTTTTATTAGACCAACTCAAATAGTTGGAAACATTCTTCTTAGCTAGTAAAAGCCTCCAAGGATGGAGATTCCACAACCTCTCTGGGTAACCTGCTCCAGTGCTTTACTACCCTCCTCATGAGAATATTCTTAATATCTAACCTAAACTTCCCTTGCTGCAACTTGAGACTGTTGCTTCTTGTTCTGTCATCTACCACCACTGAGAGCAATTTGGCTCCATCCTCTTTGGAACCACCCTTCACATAGTTGAAGGCTGCTATTAAATCTACCCTCAGCTTTCTTTTCTTCCATTCTGTGATTCTTTGGGGCACAAACACCCTTTGTCAGGCTGAGGAAGCATCAGCCTGACAAAAGATCTTGGCCTGCATTTATGGATACAGAATAGGCATGATTATTACCCTAGCACTTGCTTTAATTTATTAGAAATGTTTCAACACAAATTGTGAGTGATGAACTTGGAACTAGCACAGTCATACACATGTAATTTTTGTACTTCTATGTTAATCAGCTAAAGTTTCTGTTGAGTCATTATTATGAAATTAAACCTATAATGCAAGGAGTGGTATTGGCAGAACTAATCATATTAGGGGCATTACTATGTATTCTTCCAGAACCACACACAGAAATTTAAAAAATCAATAGTTCAAAAAATGAAGTTTTGTTTTTTGTTACATTTAAAAAAAATAATGGACTTTTTGGAATTTTCTGTTAAGAAGAATTTCAGTTTCTGGGCAACTTGACATACAATCTCAACAAACATACTTTTAGCCACTAAAAAATGGTGAGGGGAGACTGCCATTCAGTAGCACACTCAAGCTGTTATGATCTAGCTGTCATAGCTACATGGTCTTATGGCAATACAAGTTACCTAAAGCACCTTAACCTTGACTCTAAATGAAACAGAGTTAAAGTCACAGAGATTTTACTGAATTTGTATTGCTAAAGAATCATGCTGATGTAACAGTTGCACCCCAACAGCTACTATGAGCATCCTTTGGTATAATTACAGTGGTTACAGCTGTTAGTTCATTTATAATACTTAAGCAGAGTTATTAAATCTCAACAGAATCATCACAGGAATGCATGGTTGCTAAAGCACTCTCTAGCTCTCAGTAAAATTAATTAAAGATTGCAGGGCATGGGTGAAAATATGGATTTATTTCAAATAAAGTGAAAAAAACATATTTTAGTGACTTCATGCCAGATTCTGAAAGGTATTTAGGTACCTAAGGATGCGGATACGGGCCAAGTTGGATTTTCAAATCATGCCTTGTTGCCCAATTCAGTAGGTGTTAAGTACCAAAGAAAATATGAAGATCTCCTTCAACACCTATCTTCACTTTTGGGAGCTTTAAATACCTTTCTAACTTTGGCCTTTTGTCATCAGAACTTATCTGGGACAGCCAGAACATTCAAATAAATGCAAGGACTTATAAAAAGTGAAAACAGAAACACCATCTAGATAGCTAATAGACAGCTAGATAGCTAGACAGCTAATAGACACCCGTCTAATTAATTAATAAATATTCACAAACAAAGAGAAAGGAGTTTATGCACTGCTCCTTTCAATTTATTTTTATACTGCATATTGTATAATTTTGGGTTTTTTTTACGTAAAGCAATGCAATTATTTGTAAGAGTAATTATTCTCATGACAGACCCCTATTATATGCCTATAGGACCCATATAAAACATGGTTGAAAACAGTGTTATTCTTATTTATGATTTTTACTGTGGTGTACATAAAGACCTCAAGCAACAAGATGAGATGACTAGGCTATGAATTTTACAAACATATGAATTTCTAACCTCAACAACTGCCAAGTTTCTATCAGAGACAGATAACAGAAGTATAACTAAACCCTTGGTCAAACCTGGGGGTGGGGGAGGGAAAGGGAAGTGGGGGGGAATGAGTGAGGTGGGAGTCTTAACTGCTCTGGGGACTCTAAAAAAGTTGCTGCTGCCATCTGGTCTGCCCGCACTGGTTCTTGCTGCTACAGAGAGTCCAGTGTCCATACACCCAGCTGCTCCAGGGATCTACCATTCTGCCACTAAGTTAGTGCCCAGGTTTTGTGTGCTATTCACATCCTTACAATGTATGCCACTGAGAGCTAATGAGATAATGTTTATAATATTCTAGATAATAACATTTTCCTCCTCCAATAATCTATTTCCCAAATGTCATAACAAACATAGATCTTTCTCTCATTCTACACAGTATCCTACAATTTTACAGTCCTTTAAGTGATATCACTAAGCTTTGTGTACCAGATCCTAACTTCTTTGAGCTAGCATAAGGTCACTCCAGGTCCTAAATACCAAAGTAATTGTCAACTCCACTAATCAGGCTTGACCAACTGTTACCAGGGCACTTGTGGTCCCCTAGCAATAGGTGACTGTAACTGCTAATGTGTAATGTGCAACTGCTAATGTCAGGCATATTAACTGAACTATCAATGAAACAATCCAACACTCCCCTCACTGTGTTAGGCCAGATGCAGAAATTACACTTTTTTCCAGGATAGGTGGTCAGAAACCAGTCTATACCTATAACAGGACAGAAGTTCAGGGCACATAGACTGCTTTAAAAATGGAAGACCCTGGTCCAAGATAGACCTGGACCAATGTAGTATCATAGACATTAGGGCTGGAAGGGACCTTGCAAGATGATCGGGTCCAGCCCCCTGCCCAAAGGGTCAAAGCTGCCCTATGTTAGGAGCACAAAAGGGCTGCAACTTCAGCCTCCCATCACGGAAGGCACAGAGCCCAAAGGGCTAAAACTAGGCCTCCTCCCCCAAGGTCAGAGGGGGTGGAAGCACAGCCCTGTTCACAGGGTGTGGGAGGAGGCCTTCTCAATAATGCCATGAGCAGCAGAACGAGGAGTAGAGACCTGGACCTGAATTACAGGAAGGTGACTCAGCCTCAGGGTCCCAATGTGCTCAGTATCCTCCAGAAGCCTGCAACCTTCCCCGTAATCTGTGGGTACTATCTATGGCCAACCTCACCAAGTGGAACTAGACTCGGAGAAATCAAGGGAACCTGGACCTTGCTGGGGTTGGGGGCATACAAAAACAACTGGCCAACGGCCAGGGCACTCGCCTCCAGGGACTCAGGTATGGAGCGAAGAGCCATCCCTCAAGATGGATGGTAGTAACCCTTCTTGTGAGCTAACAAGTAGCCAAAAGAACATGCTTGCCACCCAAAGAGGGGTCCAAAGTCCTGTACCCTGAGACACAGGGAGGTCGTGCGGCCAAAGTATTGCAGGGGGGAAGCACTAATACTCCCCGAGGCCAAAAGGCACAGAAATCTATACCAGCGCTTAACCCCCTAGGTGAGGAGGTGGGAAGAGAAGGCTACAGACTTCAGGAGAAGGCTAGGTTACACCGGTCTATTGAACATTAATGCCAGGTCCACTCATGAATCAAGGCAGGTCACTGTCTGCCAGTATCCCAGGGGACTTTGTAGGTTCCTGCTAGCCCCTTTTCACAGGGAGGGCACAGCTCAGTTGCTCCAGCTGAGCACCTAGCCAGACTCACTGCCTGTGAACCACAGGCAGGACAGAAGCAGGGGGAAACGGGGGAGAATAGGGCTTGTGAGCTGCTGGGGGGAGGTGGTGCCAGTGGTACACCCTGCATTCCCAGCTGGGTTGGTGGGACATAGAGTGTCCCTCCCCTGTCCCAAGCCCTGGTACAGTGGCTCCGGGAAGGACTCAGAGGGTCCCCTGCTCCCACACCCCCAGAGGTAGCACCGAGTTCCTAGCTGAAGCCGCTTCCTTCTGTGCAGCCACAAGGGACTCGAGTCTCGGGATGAGGAGGCAGCCATGCCCTTGTGGCTGCAGCATCTGGCAGGTGAAATACTAGTGCTAAGATTGGGCAGGGAGGCAGTGGATCCCTGTGCTGGGCTAACCTGGCAGCCTCCCCTCCGCCTGGAAAATAGACCTGTCTGAGCCGAGCCAGGCCAGCTGGCGGCAGTCAGAACTACCAGCAGGTGGGGCTGGGTGAGGGCTCAGTTGGCTCCCTAGGCAGTGGCCCTGTCCCCACACTGGAATTACCCCCCACCAGGCGCTGCAGCTGCAAGGGCATGGCTTCCCCCTCAACTTCTCCCCAGGGACCAGAGCCTGGTGACTGCATGAGGGGAATCAACTTCATCCAGAAACTCAGCACTGGCTTGCGGGGTGGGGGTGGAAATCCTCTGAGTCCTTCCCAGAGCTGTTTCAACACATGATCCTGGGGCTGGGGACACGGGAGGGATACTCTGTGTCCTGCTGGCCTGGCCAGGAATGCGGGGTGCACAGCTGGCACTACTTCCTCTCAATGAGCCCTTCTCCCTCCTCACCTCTGTCCTGCCTGGGGTGGATCTCCACGCTTCCCCCACTGAACAAAGTCCAGGGATGCCCATGACACTGAGTGAGGGTGGGCATACCTCCCTCCACCAGCTGCCTGCAGCTGAGAACTGCTTGGCAGATGACACAGCAGCAGGGGGAGGCGTGTGCCTGACAACCAGTGAGGGATGGTTCCCACTTGGCTGCCCTTAGTAATGTCTGGCAGGCTGGGAGATGTGTGGGAGCGCCCCCAGCTTTCTGGTCTCAGCCAGTGCAGGCATCTGCCTGCCTCTTCTCACCGAAAGGCAAACATGAATTCTGTTTGCTTCTGATTCAATCTACGCAGCTTAGAGAAACCCATGTAGATTGGATGGATTCCGCCTCAGGCTTTTTGAATGCCTGTGCTTAGCCTTAATGGCAAACTTTAACTATCTATGTTGATTTTAACAAATAGTCTAAATAAATCAAAATACTTCAGGTGTTTGCAGTTTGTTAACTTTGATGCCTTTATTTTCCAGGCTTAAATTACAACTTTGATTAGAAAAAGAAATGACATACCAAAATCCACAAGTTTAACTCCTCCTTCAGTGGTCAACAGGATGTTATTTCCCTTTATATCACGGTGGATTGTTTTGTTTTCATGTAAGTGCTGAAGCCCCTGAAAAATAAGATAAAAACATTCACTTTTTTCTGTTGTTGTTGCTAATTGTTATTTTTTGTGTGTTTTATTTGAAGACAGAAAAAGGAAATACAAAATACCAGAAAAGTTAAAACAAAGAATAATTTGGGGCCTCAGCCTTTCTGAGCTTAGACTGAAAATGAGGCAAAAATTCTAAAATGAATTAATCCTTCATTTTCTAACAGACAGGCACTTACTGTATAATACTCAATGTATTTTTTTAGTTTTTCTAAGACTTCGAGAACTTTTGGTAGAAAATCCATAGAAATGCTAGACTAGAGGTTTTGAACTGAATTGAAAGAATACCTAGTTGACTGTCAGCTAGGTGTGTGGGATAGACAGACTTTTTAATAACTTCACTTACAGACACAAGCTGTATGATAGCAGAAGAAGAGAAGCATTATTAATCTTGGTTATATGTTGCACCATTAAATGACAAAACCAAAGCAAAGTTCTAAGCACCAATAAGAATGACTTTACAGCAAAATCAAATTCCAATTAAACAGGAACAGTACTTGATTTTGATGAACTAAAAAGATATTTATTTTAAGAGTATTTTCAATTATTTGTAGATTATTTTGTTATAACAACATCTTGGATGCTGTGCAATAACTTTAGAAAAAGAAACATGCTTGGTATATTATTCTTACAACCCTAAAAGAAAGTCAATTTAGATGCAAAATTGTATTTATTTATTTCATGGAAACAAGGAGAAATTAACATTGCCTGAAATCAGTGCTCATTTTTCTTATAATGAAACATTTAGATGAATTTCCACTTTACTTGTTTTTATTCAAATACCAGTGTGTAATCTAAACATCATCCTCATTTCATTAGATAGTCTTACGATTTAAAAAAATACACCATATTTTGAAAATAGGAATACATCTTATTTCTTGAAAGACACTACTTTAAATTAGCTATCAATTTTATTTTCCATTTATTGATATGGCTAGCTTACCATAAGAGCTTCATGTAAAATGTAAGCAATTATAAGTTCATCCATCCTTTCCCCTCTCTTCAAAAATCCTTTCACAAGATCAGTCACAGATCCTCCATTGCACAGCTGTAAAAGACCATATTGCTTTAAAATACAAGATAGAAAATGAGGACAGAGAAATCACATTAATTCTAATTTTCAGTAGATTCCATTTTCATATCTATACAGGATCCTCAAACTCATAATTTAGAAATTAACTTTTAGTGCCTTTCATACTATAAAGCAATTGTTTTTACTATTTGTACCCAATGGGTACATCTACACATTGCCATACGGTGATGTTGCTATGGCACTATGCTTCAGTACTTCCTTTTGGAAGTACTAAGGCACGGTACAGTATGGGTGGTTACTGTGCCATGCATGTGGTAAATTTTGCTACTACGTCACCATAGCAGTGCGCGATACCTGGGGAGCATGCTGCTATGGCAATATAGCTGGCAATCACATGTAGATACACGTGATTGCTACATCGCCCCAGTGCACCGTGCAGCAATGTAGTGCATTGCCAAGTTGCTGTAGGGTGATGTGTAGACGTGCTCAATATTGTTTAT